ATCATATCACCAGTCGGCATTGTTCCAGGACGTGGCGGGTCTCCGTCTGGTAAGCGTTTTCCCTACAAAGAGCTCCAAATGTCTGTTTAACAACACAGCGACGTGGCGGATGTGGCTCGCCACTCAATAAAGTCACGGCCCCTAACACACATTGGCAAGTTGACCGACACCACACTTACAAATTCTGTGTACATTTATCTGCTCGCTTACGAACACGCCTACATATTGGATTAAAGACATGCCACAATTCTTACATATTTTTCACCTTTTCCTCATGCTTCACTCAACTGACCTGCACTGTGTACCCAAATTAATCGGACTAGTTCCTCCTCAACATGCGCCACATTACTGACGTGCACCTTATCTCTACATCACGCATTCTGTGGACATTGACTTCGTACAACCTTTGGGCCATATGGGCCCACACTACTGTCTCTAACTGTACTACACCCGCGCTGGTTCCCGCAAATCATGCTATCACCTACAGTACTGCAATATTCTGGTCATTCCCAAAAGATATGCCTCGCTTTGTCAAAATTAATATACTTATTTATTTATTTATTTAAACTTCTTAATCAAGTGGCTACAATTCGTTACTGATAATCTATTCACCAATTCTACTAGCTTTCCTTCGTCTAACATTCAACCCCATGTATAGCTACAGCGACCAGGCGAACCACCCCCGCATCCCTGCGCATATCCGGAGCTTGCTAGGAGCCACTCAGTAGCTCTCCAGCTGTAGCATGTTTGCTTTAACTATACGCAGGGTATAACCGTAGATCATTTCTGATGCGTCGTGTTGACCACGCGGAATGGTTCAACGATTTATCCGGAGGATTGTGTTAGTTCTGTGAACATAGTGTTTCAGCTGATGCTCGTTCAGTCGGTAAGGGCGAAGTTCTTTTAACGGGCTACATCGGTTAACGCGGCAACGAAAATAGTGAAAGCATGAGAGAGACACGCTGTATGTATTGGTACATACTGTACCGTTGTGTGTGCGGTTATCGCACCATGGAATTTGCAAAGCAGTAGCTTTTTACAATAAGTGCCTTAACTTGCGTCCAAAAGTACGAATCCTTACCTGTAAGCCCCATTTCACCGTTCTTCTAAAAGCTGGATAGTGTGCGATTAAAAGGCACTTAATTTTAACGTCTGCTATGTTCGTAGCTGAACTCCTTTGTGATAACCGCGGAACCGTCGGCTGACAGCGGCACAAGAATCGGTTAAAAATATTATAGCAGTTTTCCATTGCTTGCAAGGTTTGAGACGGTTTACGTTTCATCACTGCGGGTAACGTGCGACTCAGTATGATCAGTATAACAACGACAAGCTCATTAAGGGAACCCTTGCAGTAAATTGTTGGGGTAGCACTGCTGTTGGAGCGCCACGATCGGTGTAAGTTGTCGACAAAATGTAAAAATATCCGATACCATATTCCCTTTTAACCGATATTCGTCTCCTCGTGATAAATTACAGGGGTGCGTTTGTGTGCTTAACTTACAGTTTCCTTAAGATTCGTACGTGCTTTTGCATTTCATGTTTGTTTTTGTCAATGAACTTAGTATGTTCCTCTACTATCTACATTTGCTAAGACATCATATATTTACCGTCCAACCTTGGAACGTGTGCTGTATACGGTGACCATCACGAGGCATGCCAACACAGCCGTGAAGTAAAAAAGCACACCATAAGCGTGGGCTTTTAAGCAAACCTACCCAAATGCAATATTTATATATTGCCACCATCATCCAAAAAGTGGAATGAATTGCAAGTTTAGCTGGTTACGCTGCACATAAACCGGTCACAAGTTGCAGCTGCAAGCCTAGCTGTACAGCCGAACATACACGTAGGATGCGCGGCAATTCGGTCGGGATAAAGTCGATACAAAAATGTAACAAAATGTTTTATACCTATCAGTCAGGAATATGTTTCAATGAGTAAATTGTTGCGCTGCTCACGAACGGAAACGTGCTTTGCCGTTCGGTTGTCACACAACCAACTGAAATGTGAATAAATA